GATTACTTGTTTAAATAGTCGCCGTATGACAGTTATATCCAGTTGCACAAAAGCCCGTTAAAATTTTCATTATTGATATTAACGAAACAAATTTTCAAATTTCGAACATTCTTTAGAGGCTAATGCAATAATTAAATCTTGTTAGACGTTTATGCAACATTATTACTTAGTCTTGTCATCATGATGATGATGACAATTCAATAAAGCTTTTATTGCTTTTACAAGTAGATTTTATTTAATAGCATCTCTACGCTCTGACAACGATGACCTCGTCGTTGAGCTCGAAGCTGCCAGAGCGAGTTTTTATAGTAAAATAGCACTGCAATTTGTCCTTCTAATCCGGTCATCATCAGCTCTTAAACGTCCCCACCACAGGAGCTCAGGTCTTCCTTATAGATTGTTAAAGAGGACCGTCCGCGCTGGCCTAATGCGGATTGGAGGTTATTAAAGACTGCAAATACAGCCGGTACCAACGGCTTAACTTACCTCGTTCTAATTCCGTGAAAATTAGTAAATGTTACTTACTATTGTCTAGTCAGACAAGGTACTTACTATGTCAAACTAGTTTAGAAATTTGAAGCGCCGATTCGCCTTCCAGGCTGTTCGCATGTTCCCGGTCTTTGACGGAATGCAAACTTAATAAAACTTGTGAATTCAGCCTTTGGTTGCGCAGAGTTCTAGTGAAACAGACAAGTACAGATCGACGTGATTTATGTGACGACAATGTGGTCTCGGCAAATTGCATGGAACCTATTGTGAAGAGTGAAGTGTTAATTTCTTCCATGTTTTCTTGCAATTCCTTTCAATTTGCTATTTGAAAGATGTTCACGGACTAAGAAACCTATATATATTTCGTTGTAGCGTGAAATTAGTGAATATCATATATGATATGAAATTGTTAAAGGCGATCGCGACGTTTTATGGAAAGATATCGAATGAACGATATAGTTAATTTGACGTTATTTGGAATTCTCTAAAGCAAACGTTAAGGTGCTCGTCCACTTCCTCAGTACGTATGCACCGGCCTGATTTGAATTTTTCATTGACGGTTCTATGAAAAATGCGTCTGTCTGTTTTGACGTCGGAATTATGTTCATGACGTCATAGGAATTTTAAATATATTCCCTTACGTCGTGCGGCTTGTGAGTGCATGCTTAATTCTTTGAAGGCTATTAAGAAACGTCAAACAAAAAAGTTGATTGCTTAATACAATCTTTCGATGGGTTTACCTTGTTTCTTGATTATTCAAATCATCATTCGTTGCAAAAGCGATTGCAATGTTACATATCATCATAAATGACTTCCGTAAACTTGGAAAATTTTTAAGTTTGTCACTAAGTACAAACAATTTTTTCAAGTTTGCAATTCAAAAATACTGATCCACTCCTCATTAAATATATAAAGGAAGAACCACTATTTCAAACCAAAAAAGAAATGCATTCTTAATGAAAATTGATTAAAAAATCCACTTCGTCCATGGCTCTCTAAGATAAGACTCGAACCAATTACCTTTCGCAACCGTCCGACTTCACTGGATATTTTATGAAATCATGAACCCAATATTTTTCTGTTATTTGAAACCGATTTTTTTTTATTCAGACAGTGTTGAAGTCGACGCTTTATTTACAGTTACAAAATTTACTTTCTGAATTTGTTTATGACTCAGCTTCTATTGTAAAAATGTTGTTAAAGTTGTGTACCTCTCAAGACAGATTGAACAAGAGTTTTCCCATTTGTCTTCCTCTAAGAGGCTGCAAAAAGGTTGATCGATGGGCCTATAAACACCTGTTTTGGAGTTTTTCTACTGATAATTAATGGACATCCGTCGAAACCTTCAATCAAAGGCCTCCAGGATAAACAACGTAATTGATGCTAATAGAGGAAAAGGTAAAAGCTTATTTGTATCTGATGAATATTTCGTAAATTATAGTAATTTCTGCCTACTCCGCAAAGGAAGATGTGAAGATATCTAATGGATATAGTTTCTAATTCAAAACAAAGGATTTGGTTGCTTATGTTTTTAATACCTAATGATAATCCAGTTTTTATAAATAGATATTCTTGCCCATAATCATTAATTCTAAAAACAATAAACATTGCAGTAGAAAATTATATAAAAAAAGCCCAAATAGCTTCGAGAAAAGGATGGTACGGCCGTACCCTTTATACGAGTACTTTATTGTTCGAATTGGCGGGTGCATTTCCAAGCTTGTAGATTTAAATTGCGATAAAAATCAGAAAAAAAAATTTGAAACTCAGGATTTAACAGTTGCTAAATCAATTAATTAGTGTGATGGCTTTAAAATTCTCTATTTAGATCCACTATTAATTTCTGCACATACCACTCATAGCGCTATATAAGCGGGTTTTAAATTAAAATTCTAGATTTCCTGATGTTTCGTGGCAATTATTACAGGGTTATATTTAGATAAGGGTCATTGCAGGTTTTATTTTGGCATGCAAGAATTTAAATGGAAACGTCGAAAAAAGTTAAAGATTATAATTATAAAATGCTCTTTGAATCGTTTTAAAGAGTTTTCGACTGCTTCGAAATATTTCTAACCTATTTGCTAATAAATTATAAGCCAAATTTCTGCTTTTCACTTCTGAAATCAACTTGCAATGCTTGATCAAATGATTTTAAAGGTTACTGCGTATAATCCACATCATACTATGCCTGTAATACTTCATACTGATGAAGATTAAGTACCAAACGAAGATCCAGAAAGCATAGTATTTTATGTATATAAAATGTAGTTAAATTAAACTTAAACTTACATAAGTTCTGCGATTTTGCACGCGTAAATTTTAGCCTATGTCAGCTGCTTATGATGTAATTTTCTATTGTGATGTAACTTCCTATTTTTAATTGGTTCAGTAGTTACAGGGCCTTATCTATGCAAAAACATTTTTTTTCTCTTTATAATATTATATTGTCAGTACAAAGAGATCTGAGTCAGTAAATATTTACAATAAAATTCGTACTATTTGGTGAATGCTTCTGTTTTTTTTTTTTATAAATATCTAATGGTTAGATATCTTCATTATCATCAGCGTTTTTCTTTATTTTGATTATAAACATTCGTTTAGAGACAATAGTTATTCAAATCTGAATCCAACCGAAGCGCACGTAATCCCACATTGGATTTAGCACGGACAGGAACCCGAATATAGTTGTACAGTTCACCCTTGTTAGCAGGCATTTTGGTCCGTTTCTATTATTGGAGTTCACGGATTTTAATTATAGCCGGTTCTTACTTTGCGGTCCCTGGTATCAGATTGGAATCGATTTCGTAATCTGCTTTAAAATCAATAATGTAACATTGATTTTAGGAGTTTGAGGTGCACTGAATTATTGGGGTCTTCTGTCTTTGCGAATGTTAAGCCGGATGTGCGTGAAAATATAAGAACAAAGTTTATTATTTAGCTTATCGTATGCTTTGGTAGGTGAAACGGTTGATCACAGCTGTATCAGCAATGGATAACAGATATTCGCACCCATAGTACTGTATGTATAAGGTATGAGGTTACATTATAAATTCCAATGTTATATCCATATGGGAGATTACAATGACAATACTAACAGATTAAAATCATCATGAATTACTCTTTCATTTCATTATTTCATGTAACAGCGACCAGTCTTTTTATTTGTATAGATTGAGCTCTTACTTAAAACTTTAATGAATGTTCACTTAAACATCATCATAAAGTCATTATCATCATCATCATCATCACCAGCCCTTTTACTTCCCCATTGCAGGGGCTCAGGCCTTCCTTATGGATGGTTAAGGAGGATGGGCCATGACCCTCCACGCTGGCCCAATGCGGATTGGAGGGTATTAACGACTGCAAATGCAGTCGGGACCAACGGCTTAACGTGCCTTCCGAAGCACGTAGTAGCTCAAGATAATAATTTTTTGGTCACCCATCCCGTGACCGACCCTTGCGAAAGTTGCGATATAAAAATATATCTGAACTAATCGCATTCATATACAGACAAGGACAGTACAGTTTTATGTCTTACAATATATAGTTAATACTACTGTAAAAAAACAATACATGTCTCAACACAATTTTATTGTTTCATTACAATTTCAGCCTTGCTTTTATAAATAGTTTTTATACATTATTTACATCACGAACTTTCTTTACAATTTTGAGTACAAATTTCGTAAAAACTTTTCAATTCAATTTTTATTTATCCAAAAAATTTCAATTCACGCTGATATGAGAAAATAATTTCATTTATGATACAACGATAACATGAAATACAATTGTAATATTAAGAAATAGTCATAGAGGATCCGATTCGCGAAAGTAATTGTTTGGATCCCTTGTCAGTGTTTTTATAATAACGATCATAACATCCTAAGATGATTGTCTGTTGAGCTACAATCGCTCTTCTCGTACTGTCATTGACGCGACAATCCCAGACTATTTGCTATCTGTGAACACCGAGCAACTACTTCATCTTGAAGTAAGCTGAACGACATGGCTATTAGAATAAGTCCAAATACTAGATAAGCGCAACAAGCTACCATCTGTATATATTCACTTTTTGAGTTCTCAGTGTTGTGCTTGGATGTTATAAAGCTAGTAGGCACGAAGTCACCAAATCCGATGGTAGCTAAGGCGATGAAACAAAAATAGGCAGCGTCAAGGAAACTCCAGTTTTCCCAGGCAGAGAAGATGGCTGCTCCCACGCAAATGTAGCCGAAAAGGAGAAAGAGCACAATGCCAACTGGCACGTGGCAATGTTCGATTCCATGGTTTATGTGATGATGAACGCTGGTGGACGCGCTGCTGCTAGGAACAGCGCAGCTTTTTGATTTATGCGTCTCATCGTTCCAGATCAAAGGCACTCGTGAGGGCGTATCGTGGGGACATATTCTGTGAAAGAGCAATAAATTTATGTATTTAATATAGGTATTTTTTATATAATCAAAAATTACTTCTGGTATCATATTTTTGTAAGACTTTAAAGCAGGAAAATTATATTATATGATCGGATAAAGAAAATCTTTTTTTGTGTCTCTAAAAAATGAAAATTTGTTTATTTTCTAAGCGCTGCTATGATTGAAAAAAACATTTTTTTTGATGCACAGATAATCTTTACAGATATGACTGTAACAAAATTATAAGAACATTTTGAAATTTTTCGTTGGTGAAGAAACAGAGATTTACGGTATTCATTTTAAAAAATTTTACAACATTCTCATGAATACTTACGCTTCGTCAGGATCTTCCGAATCATCAAGGTCGTCCTGACTTCTGTTAATATTACCGCACTCTTCTGCAATAAGCTGCTCGATGACCGGACCTCTTGGTCTTTGAATAGTACCTCTGCCTCTTCCTCGCCCAGGCCCGTGTACTGTCGCGAGACACTTAGGTCCACCTACTGTCTTCTTACGGTCCAAAGTTTGAGTTTGTAGAGCCGATGACGTATTTGGTTCTGTAAAAGAAAGAATAGTTTTGATTGTGAAATCTTTAATGCAAAATAATTAAAGATTTTTACTGCATTTTTATGGCAAAGCATAGCACATAAAGCTGGGATTTTATGTTTTCAACTGCATGTTTAATACTGATAGATACCATGAAACTTCTCGTAAATTATCTTCCCTTGAAAGTTTTTATGGCATTAGTAATTCATTTTCCCATAATGGAATGAAAGAATACCCACAGATCAAGCAAAACATTAAAATTCTTGTTGTTTGATCAAAAGACAGAATTTAAGATTTTTCTTACAGACTTTTAGAGGTCTATTACAGGTTCCTTTTTGGCCGTTCGGAATTTTAAGGCATTTTAACAAAGGCATAGACCACTATATTTCTTTATCGTTAACGGATTTTGAAAAATTTCATTATAACGAAACTAATAACGTTAACGGCCACGATGCGTCAAAGTTCACTCCCTCGCATTTTTAAAATAGCAAAAACTAGGTCATAATATTAAAATTGCCTAAACCGGGTCGACTTCCATATATCTAAGACCATTAAAGATTGAAAGAGGCTTAAAATTCAACAGCGAAGTAAGCTCACCATCAGCCAAGGCACTGCGCTTGATACGACCTAACGTGGCGGCCCTGGGGCTGGCCGGGGCGCGCTCGAATACTTGCGAGTATTGACCTCTGTCGCCAGCCTTCGCTCTGACTGTGCCAGGCGATTTATTACGAGGAGGAAATGAGGTGTACTGGTTGTGCTCCATAGGCTGCGGCAGAAGGCGCTGCTGTTCATGGAGTTGGAGATTTTCAAGCTAAACAAATAATACAAATTTCTTAATGATCGTACGTTGAAAAGAGTTTTTGCTCAAGAATTTAAAATCGTTTTAAATGAAGTGTTAAATTATATAAGTTACTTGCCTCTCCATCTTTTCGCCAATTACTAGGGACTTTCCCTTTAGTGGCTCTCAGCCATGCCAGACGTGTTAGTCTTGCCAGTGATGCACCTAATCCAGCCAGGCATGCTAGGGTCAGCGGCACACCAGCAGCTGCATATGCCACGGTTGCGGCACGTCCCGCTGCTGTTCGAGGGGAGACGTTGCCATATCCTGACAAAAAAATATATTGATCTCAAAATATAAATTAAATATAGTGTATGAATGCGACCCTCAAATCAAGTAGATTATCTACTAGGTCAGTAATCTGTATATAGGAAAAAAATTCAATATTTTTACAGTTTCATTCTACCAGTGAAATAAATATGAAATTGTTAGTAAATATTAAATTATCAATTTTAAAGTACACTATAAACCAAATAAAATAAATAATTAAGGGGCTCCCATACAACAAGCGTGATTTTTTTTTTTCGGAACCCATTAAGTATTTTTATATTATTATTTATAAAAAATATCTTAATTCGATGTAATAATGTTAAATTACTTGATTATTTTTACATAAAAACCTATTAAATTAAGCAAAACATGAATTTTCAGTAAAATACCCCAGTCCATCCAGACCCCTAACAATTGTAAAGCTTGATGCTATTGAAATTTCTAACGAAGTGTTAAATATCCGAGTGCCACTGTAAAGCCAGGTTTACATAAGCTATAAGTCTTTGCCATACATTAAATCCTTTTTGGTGTGCTTAAAATCGTGTGTCCATAAAGTATTAAGGGCGACTCTAACGAGTGTTCTATATTTCAAAATCTAAATCGGTAATGTCGCTTTATACTTACATAAAATTTTAATAGCTGTTTGTGTAACTATGACGTATATCATTTATAAATACAGATGGAATATTTCACTTTGAAAACGTTAGTTGAAAATCAGGATAAATATGATTTTTGAATTTATTTTGTATCAAGATATCGTTCAAAAATGTCTATAATTGACTATTTGGACGATTACTAATTAAAATTTTGAATGTTGGAAGAAATATATTTTTTTAAGATTTGTCACAATAAAAATGTAAAATTTTTCGTTTTTTTCTTGTAATATTTTTTTTATTTATCAAAAATAAGTCAATATGTTATTCACTTAGTAGCTGAGGGTCACATGACACTTTTACAAGAATCGAACGGTTTTACGAGTAATTATCAAATATAGTTTTACGCTCGTTCTGAGTTTTCGCGCACAGGCACAGTTAAATCAACTGCTTTGTTCACTACACATGTAGTTCTAGTTTAGAAAACTTTGAATTCGTTCAAAGTTATTTAAACTAGAACTATTTTTTAACGTTTTAACGCCTCGTTGCATAAACATCAATTATAAAAGTTTTTAGTAAATTGACCTGAAGCATAGTAATTAAAACGACATTAACGGCTTGTTTCTGAATTGAGCAAAGCACAAAATCTCAACTGATTATTCTCAATAATTTAAGTTTTTTACGTGTTATATGGCAAAAAGTCCTGGTTTTATCAAATTTCCATCGACTGATTATTAAAAAATTATAAATCAGTAATTAAAAACCTTTTTAATTGACGTTTAAAATGGCTTAAGCATGGTTTGAGAAATGCTCAACTCCAAATTCTCAATTTTGGAAACCGGATGTATTGTACTAATTTTCAAATGTAGAACGTTTATTAAAGTTTAACGTCGTCATTGCACCTCGATGGACGAAAATAATCTTACAGATTTCTTTTTAAAGTAAATAGAATTATGTTAAAGAAAATGTAAACCCAGCTTTAATACAAAAAACAAGTTGCCGTTTCACGTTTCTGAGTACCTAATAAAGCGTAACATCCATCGCGTTTAGAAAATTTTGTTCAACATCTGTAGAACAAGAGGAGGAATTATTGAATAAAAAAAAACTGAAAGTCATGTCGCATTGTTTATTTGTGAAAATAGGCGTAGTTCGATCGAACTGACTAGCAGAATATTTTATTATTTCCTGCTTTTAATGAAATGTAAAATAAATTTCGAGGAGAGGTTTGGGAAATAAAATTTTAAGAGACCAATGTGCCAATAACGTGTTTTCACCATAATTAAATTTCAACATAAACACTGAAATGTATGAAATTTATCACATTGGGATCGGTCGTTTTATTTTTATATGAGTATTAAAACTATTTTCCTGAGACTTCGCCCGCGTGAATTATGGCCTACGTCACCCGCGTACGCTGTAGCAACACGTGGTGAGAGAATTTTTAAAATCTATTATTATTATTAATATTAATAATAATAATAAAATCTATCCAGTAGTTTCAATGCAAATAAACACGCAATAAATCTTCTCTTTTTATAATATTACTTTAAGTAACATCTGACCTTGCGGAACAAATACCGTTGTATACTAAAGCATACTATAATTGTACGTTAAGAGATTATACGGATTTTCTGTCTGACTGAAAGCTTACTTCTTAAAATCTTTTGTCGTTAACTCTACTCCAAACTTTCAATTAATGTCAATTTTAAGATTAGAGCAATTTTACTAAATATGAAATAGTATCCCTAATATGAAAAACTGCAATTCCATAAAATAACAAAAATATAAACTTTAAAATATGCTAAACAACTGCAAGAACCGCAAATTTGCAGGACTCAACGGATAATTTACAAATTTTTCTTTTATTCGAAAGGAAACATATTTGGTTACTACAGTTTACAGTTCCTGGATGAAGTCGCATTAAATATTAATTTGAGGAGTTCGATGATGAAATGGCTATCAGGTCGGTTTGCGATATGCTTGTTAAGCATCTTTCGCAACGGTCAGTTATAGGATAGGTGACCAAATTTTTATTATCTTGAACTCCTCCGTGCTTCGGAAAGCACGTTCAGCCATTGGTCCTGGCTGCCTATTCTCTCTATTCGATTCCATCGATAGGGAAAGCCTGAGCCCCAGCAGTGGTGATATTAATAGGCTGGTGAAGTGTTCATTTACCTATTGTAGTAATTAGAGTGATGCAATATATCAGTGCCCCAGAGAAGGTCCATTCGGTGTCGAGTGCCAGCTCCGGAGGTTGAGCTTCAGGGGACTGCCTTGCAGCTGCTACTATTGACGATTCGAACTTCCGCAGTTGCTCATGCACCAGCCTTGTCCAGTTCCTCTCATAGAGGACGTTGAGGCGTTCTGCAATATAAACAACACATTTAAAATAATGTTCCACAAAATTCTATTTGTTTCTCTTTTACAATTGCCTGTCCACATTATTGAACTATAACATATGGTTGTTTTTAATATTCCCGAGTACACAATTAATTTTAAGTTGGCGTAAAACCAAAATTCCCCAACCGAACCAAATAATACGGAGATGATGTTACTAATTTGTTATGGTTAAATTAATATCTTAGTTTTTTTTTGTCATTAACATAGACAGATTGTATTATAATTTGTTTATTTCCTTCACAAACTATTTTCATTTAAAGTAAGAGTGCGCAGCCGCTATCTATATAACCACTGCTACAAACTAGACGTGCTTTTGCTCCGCTCTTGATACAGCTACAAAGACAATTTGTACTGTAGATATACATTAAGCTTTTTAGACCAAACAAAAATGTTTTATGTTTTACTTGTGTTTTCAACAAATAAGGGTAAGAACTTTGTAAAAATGACATACTAACATTTTTATAATTCTCTCTTAAACCCAGTGCCTCTAATGCCGTCGGTAATAAATTCTCATCAGACGATGCAACGAGATCTTCGTCAAGGGCTCCAGGGGTCCATTATAATTCCGATGAGCTGACACTTAAATTAATGAGTGCCGCAATCGGGCCCCTGTTTAGTTTAATCAAAAGCGAAAAGAGCCATTTAACTTTTAAGAGGCAAAGCCTTTCCAGTGTCATTTATTCAAAGTGGAAATGTGCGTCACCTTTTTATTATTAGATCCTGGAAAATATTTTGTAGACCTTTAAGAACGGAAATCTTACAAAAAAATCTCTAAAGAATATATTTCAAAATACTTAAGGGTAGGCGTTTGTATATCTGAACGCTTAGTGTAACTGTTTTTGACGTCCGAAATGATGACGTCTGTTAAATAGAGCGCCCCTAGCGGTAACTACCAAGAACTACAAATCTCTATACAAATTCTTAACGCGCTCGCTAGTGAACGCGTTAACGTAAAATTTACACTTCCGCTCTGATGGAAAATGCGCCCTGTTTCTTCAGACGAGCGTCAGAATTCACAAATATGTATGTGATATTGGCTTTCCGTGACTTAGATCGCGTAGAAATTCTACTAATAATAATATTATAAACAGTAAATATAGTAAATATAGATTGTTTGCACCAAAACTACTGCACCAATTTTAAAAAAAATTTAATATCGGTGCAGTTAACGTGGTTGACATAAGCCATAATTTACACGGGCAAAGTCACAAGAAAACATTTAGTTACAAAAAAATATGAAATAAAATAAAAGAATTCAAAATACGAATATTTTTTTCGATACAAAAATATGACATTCGATACGACAACATAATTTTAATTATTATTTGAATTGTATTCAATTCTAAGCTTAAATTATATCACTGTTATTGCTGTATGTATATTTGTATAGTAACACCAGAACACCAAGAACCTCGATAATATAGAAACACGATCGAGAATAGAATTCTTGATCTCCGAGGTGGCGACACCTTAAAATCAGCGTTTGAATCACTCAGCTACGAAAGTCTTCGCCTAATCTAGCGTTGTGGAATATCATCTATGTGTAGCTATAAAGCATTCAATAAATACTTGTGTTAAAATAAAAAAGTCACTACTCAATTTACTAAAGGCCACTTAACAGATATTTCCGTGAATTATGTCGTCCTAAAATATGTATTATATACAGATATTATAATGCCTACTAAATTTGTGGTATAACTACATCTCAAAGAATAACTTCATAAACCCAAGTATTCAAGGATAGCGAATCTTAGTCCCTTAACCAAATACCGGCGTTTATGATCGTAACATGTTGGTCGTAAGCATTATCATCCTAATTATTTT